CCAGGTCACATGTTCTGGTTACTCTTAAAACCAGTGTCCAATGTGTCTCTGGTAAAAAGGTTGATGGTGATGGGAATACTCGGAATTATATCCCAAATGAATAAAAGATTTCATTCCAATAAATTTTAATAGAAATTTGCAAAAATAGAAAAACTTGCTACCATGGAAAAGGAAATTTCCCGTCAATTTGTGGCAAAATCACCCTGATAATTTTAGATTATCCCATTTTCCTATTTGCTTTTGGGGTTTTCCTACGCCCAGCGAACAGTTTTTTCAAATATATTTTCCTTTTTTTTTGGAACGGAAGCAGACAAAATTTAAAAAGGGCCCCCCCGTTATAAAAAATATGAATTCGGAGGACAGAAAATTAAATATTAAGCATTTGACTAACTAAAAGCTTCGTAACAAAAGTTTACTAAATCCCCAACTGGGTTCTCTAGCTATTTGTAAGATGGGCTCACCCAAGTTTAAGAAAAAGGGCCCTTTTTTTCCCCTTTTTTCAGATTACAACCTTCATTTTTTGGTTTGTTTAAAAAGGGAAAAATCTCCAAATACATTTCTAAAACAGCCATAGAAAGTTGGTTGCAATTTCAATGTAAATCCCCAGAAATACAGAAAAATAAGCAACAAATTGGGTTAAATAAAAAAACTAATAAAAAAAAACTTTTTGGGGGAAAAATGTTAAAAAAAAAGGTATAAATTTTGTAAAGTATCATCGGTGGGTGGTGGAGTTAGCGCACATGCAGAACAAAAAATTAGGAATTGTTACCCAAAAAAACAACCAAATAATTTAGCATACCGCAAAAAGGAAGAGGGAAGTGGGGGGGGGAAAAATAAAGGGTTGTCGTCGGCCTTGCATTAGGAACATAAATTTGGTTTAAAAAAAACGTTTAAAAAAAAAAGTATCCCCTTATTTTAAGGGCCCAAAGGGGTTGCGCCCTCCCCTATAGATTTCAAAAAGTTGGGGAAAAGATTTTGAGTACCGATCTTTTTGGGATAGTGTTTTTGAACTGAACGCAAAACGACGCCCGGGTCAAAATTGAATCTTTTTTTTACATTAGTAGAAAAATTTGCTACAATTAATGTATTTATATGGGGGAAAATTTCCCCCGCTCGCAGATTTTGTGCCCAAAAAAGCCCGAAAAAAAATCAATTTGGGATGTCATTTGTGTTTTTTTTTTGGGGGGTGGAACAACGGATTGTATTTTGGGGCAATCAGATGCTTTGGGGGTTGAAAATCGAGTCAAAAGACAATAAAATAATAAAAATTTTAGCAAAAATGTTTTTTTTCAATTTTAAATCTGTAGAAACAATGAGAAAGAAAGGTTTAGAATGTTGTAAAAAAACAAGTATGTTTATAAATATAGGCAAATAGAAATCCAATAGGATGGTGTAGAGATAGATGGGTGGGGGTTGAATGAGTTGAGGACGGAAAAAACAACAACAACAACAATAACAAAAGATAACTAAAAGTAACATACGTGTCCCTAAAAGATTAGGTTTTTAGGTTTAGGCTTTTGTGAGGGGCCGTTGAAAGATAGGAACCCCAAGCAAAAATGGACTCAGAAAATGAAGAGGTTTAGGGTTTAGAGGAAGTTCGGAGTAAAAGCAAAAAAAATAGAATTATTGTAAAATTACTGTCCATAAAAGTATATACAGTGGGGGAAAAAAAAAAAATTTGTCGCCCACCAAAGTTGCCCAAAATTCCCCCC